CTGTATGTCAGAGCCCTCACCTTATAAAAACACTCCACACTTGACTGCGTGTGCTACAGAAAACCTGTTGTCATTGGCTGAGTCTACAGAGAACACTATGCATTTATTGTTTGAAAAACCCCTCTGTGTGGCCAGGAAACTCATCTCAGGTCATGCCAATACAAACTGCTTCTTTGTGTGAAGACTGGTTAAAGTATGCCTAGCTAAACAAGCAGATACACTGCATCTGACTGGAAGTGTAATCTGGAGGGAATCAGATAGACAGCTAGGATGACCCTCGGCAATGTCTGAAATAAAATCAAATTTTGTAAACACTGACTTGGCCTGATTTGACTTCTCACCCCCTTCTGTTTCTCCTGTTTCTCAATTTCTTTCTATATTTTTCTCAGAGACCTGACTGAGAACCGCCTCAGCTCAGTACCTGTGGCAGGTTTGGGGAGTCTCACCCATCTCAAACTGAGGGGCAACACAGAATTATACGATGCCTTCAGTCCCGATCACTTCCCCCGTATGAGGTAATACACACACATGTTTGTTCCTCTGTCCCTGTGGGGACATCTCATTGACATAATACATTCCCTACCCCGTTACCCTAACCTTAACCATCACAACTACATGCCTAACCTTAACCCTTGCCGAACCCTAACCTTAACCCAATTGCAACCAGAACCCTAAAACCAGGTCTTAACCCCCCAGAAACAGTCTCTACCCGTGGGGTCCTCAATTTTCGTCCTGATAACGTGAGTCCCCATTGGTTAGTGTGTTAAATTCCCCACTGGGATATAAAAACATGAAACACACACGCAAGCCATTGTGAATCCTTTTATTCTTTCTTACTTAATGTAGTCCCCAATGTGAACTTTGTATTTTAGTTTCTCATCAAAAACTGACTTAAGAGGATAACTTACCCAGGTGTGTATCCTCTGGCTGTAAGGAACAATGCACTTCCCATCCCTTTAATTATCCTTCCTCTTACCCTCTCACAATTTTCTATTTATACCTTTAATTTATCAAAAGCAGCCAAGGTTAACAATAAACTAATTATACTGTATCCCTGCAAGCCATTCCTGAACTGAACTTCAACAATGAGGAAGCATTTGTCAGCAGCAAGTTACTTCTTGTTACAAAGATCCCTGAAGGCCTGGAAAGGTGCAAGTGAAGTAAATATGGAGAGTGAGTTTCAAAAACATAGGAGATGGCAGGTGATCAAGTGGCAATGTCAGCAATACTGTAGAACATCGTCCAAAACAGAACTCCTGGCAGAAAGTCATTTCAAAAGCATTGCACATGTACAGTAAATGTTGTACAGCCACCCACAACAAAGTTAGCTGATCCAGACTCTGGAAAACAAACAGTTTCACCTACGTTTTCCCCATAGATGATGGGTCATTTTGCACATGTGCTCAAGTGCTGGAGGAACAGATTCATAAGCACTTGAGGTTGCTTTGAAACATCAAAATTGTGTCTAAAAGCTAAGCTGCTAACGCTCATGCTCACAATAAAATGACGGAAGTCTTAAGGTTTTGTTCCCATTTCTTTGTCCTCTTATACAATATGTTGTGGCATTGTTTTTCCTGGTCTATTGTCAGTACTGTTCCATCTGTTTGTTGCAGGGTAATAGAGATGCCTTATGCCTACCAGTGTTGTGTGTATGGTTCCTGTGATAGCTACAAGCCAGCCAGCCAGTGGGATACAGAGCAGAGCAACACTGATGAAGACCTACACAAGAGGACTGTAGCCATGTACCCTATCCACACGGACACACACTGTGAGAAAGCACGCAATTACGATATCTGTGCAATCATACTGAACCAGTATATAACACACATGGTACACACCCAAGAAGAGGGGTAAAGTAATACTTGTACATTTGAGCCCCATATGCCTGTGCTCATTGCCGAATTATTGACACAAGCCCACTTGAAACATGTCAGTGCCTCAGAAACCTCAGCTACCTGGCAGCTGACACACACTCACACTTGAGTGTTGACGCTTTCACGCATTCCTGTGGCAGGCATAAAATATTAACACCAATAAACCCAAATTAAGTTGAAATTAAAACGATTAAACCCACACCATTAAATGTGAAAATAAACAATTGCTGGCTACAACAAAACGTAAGAAAAACAAAAGATAATTAAACCATGACATATCACTGATTAAAATTTATTTACCTTTAATTGCTTGAAAAACAGTCACGCTGATCACATTTCCTGCAATTATCTTCTACAAATATTTTTGTTTCTTTCATTGCAAAAGAATGTTAGATCACCTCCCTTACTGTGCCAACTATGTACATGTATGCAGAATAAGCTGTCATAAAACCTCACAAGCTAAACATACCTTATACAATGGACTGGCCCCAAGGGGTTGGACCTCTAATTTCTGACCCTGACAACGCTTTATTCCAGATGACCCTGACCTAGAGGAGTTCCAACTAGAAATAGAGGAATCCAAACTACAAACCAGCATCCAATGCACACCAACTCCAGGTAACTGAAGCTACACCTTCAGTGATTTATCAACTGACTTACAGATTGTTTTGTCACAACTACAGCATGAGGAAATTAAAGCATGAATTCACCATTTGTAGTTGGTTTATCTACAGCTGATGTGTTTGTTTGCAGGTCCTTTCCGTCCCTGTGACTCTCTGTTGGGCAGCTGGCTGGTTCGTGTAGGCTTGTGGTCCATCTCCTTGATGTCTCTTCTGGGGAACTCCCTCCTGCTCCTGTCCCTCTTTGGCTCACCTGGTTACCTGTCACCGCTCCGCTTCACTGTGGCCTGCATGGGCGCCTCCAATCTGCTGACGGGTGTGTGTACATGCACTTTAGCCCTTGTGGACGCTCTAACCCTGGGAGAGTTTGGTCACCATGGTGCCCGCTGGGAGGGGGGTCCTGGGTGTCAGGCCACAGGATGGGTCTGGGTGTTCGCGTCTGAGGCAAGTGTGTTGCTGCTGACTCTGGCAGCCGTGCAGTGTGGTGTAAGCGTGACATGCGCCCGCGCCTACGGGAAATCCCCATCCCTTAGGAGTGTTCGCACATGTGCACTTTTCTGCCTCACTCTTTCCCTCACCCTTGCTTCTCTCCCACTGGTGGGAGTTGGAGAGTACGGGTCCTCACCTTTTTGCCTACCCTCGCCCCTGCCACCCCCATCCTCTCGACTGCCATCCTCCCTGGGCTTTCCCTTGGCGCTCATTATGATGAACACCCTGTGCTTGCTTATAGTCACAGGTTCATACATCCGTCTTTACTGGGAGTTACTTAGGGGTGAGTGTGAGGGCCTGTGGGACTGCGCTATGATCAAACATGTTGCTTGGCTAATATTCACCAATGGCCTCCTCTATGTACCAGTAGCTTTCCTCTCCCTCTGCTCCCTCCTGGGTCTCCTCTCTCTGGGGGAGGAAGTGCTAAAGTCAGTTCTCCTTCTTCTCCAGCCCCTGCCTGCCTGCCTGAACCCCCTCCTCTTCCTCCTTTTCACACGAGACCACTCACAGTTTTTCTTCTGGCCTCACCCAAAAGCACGTCCACAGCTACGCCGGGACCGAACCCTGGACTCGCTGGTTTCTGTGGAGACAGAGAAGAGCTCATGCTCCGATTCTTCGGCACAGGTGTCACTCGCTGATGCCGATGCCCTGTACAGTGGGGGGCCCCCATTCCAACCCCGACTGGATCCAATCATGTTTTCCCACTGCTCGTCTTCTTCCTCTGTTCCTCTCATCCCTTGCCAGATACCCACGCCCACCGCCAGAGATAGAGACAGGATGACAGAACGAGGGAACCTGAACGATGATGAATGTCTTAAGAGTTTGGATCAAGACGTGATTCATAACACTTGCCCTCTGTATCATTCTACCATGACGCCATCTCTCACCTCTCATCCATGAGCCTCCAAGGTAGTGGACTAAATAGCGGAGACACTATGGACACTCAAGGACCACCACTGAGCAGCAGCACCAAGACCAGCTCGGGGTTATCAATCCTCAATGGCTTCAGAATGAGTCCACACACACGAGACTCTAGAGTACTCAAGAGAAGTCTTTGAGAACACAACAAAGTGCCTTTGAAAATGGAGAGTACAAAGTTCCCTTCACAGTAAAGACTATTAAAGGAAACACCACAAAACAACATGACAGCTATAATAAAAGGACAATTTCAGACACTACCCAGTGGTCAGCGTTAGTCATGGACTTGCATGACAAAAAGAAAAGCTTGTTAACTATATGGAAAATCTAAGCATCAGACAAATCAATGGTTTAGCCAAGCAGAATTTAGGTAGAACCAGTAGAATTTTAAGTGTAAATGTTTATACTGAAATGTGATCATGAGAGAGTATCTTAGAGGTTACAGATTGTTTTGTTATATTGTAATTGGAGTTGTCTTTTTTATATAAAGTTCTATCCTATTGCTAAGGTCTGTTTCAGAGAAAGGGAGTCATCAGACACACCAGGACATTTGATTAGAGTAAGCTAACAATATGCATTCACAGAAATTCTATTGTCAGATAGTTTTCTTTGCAACTGTGTAATAGCTGTTATATGTTATTCTTAAAGTGGCAGTAAAATGCAACAGGAAACAGGTCGCACATACGGTTTACATGATTTTGTCTCAAATATGCAACTCTGCCCAACATGAGGCCAGCAGTTACACAGACTAAATGGGATGTAGCTATCTTTCTACAGACATGAGTGTAGGCTAGCAATATGTACATACAATGTAACTACCTCTGAACTAGCATGGTATTGACTTACTACAGCCTTATGATGTTTGTCTCCCTTTTTATATGATAAACAGCAAATATATAATTTTATATATTAGGAAATAAATCCTTACTTTGTAAAAAAATTTTTTTTTGCTATTTAGGATGTACATACTTTGTATACAACTGGTAAGCATATGTTTGAATAAAATTATTACCTTCATACTGTATATACACATTACATCACTGTGCTTATGCTACTATTGTGAAACTCGCCTTCACGCGATACAAGAAGTCACTACATACTTTAAGTTGTAAACTTTAATATCACAACACACACACACATAAACATTATGCACATAAATGTTAGCACAGTATTTCTGGGTTAAGAACAGGAAAGGATCCATAGTAAATGGAACTAGGCATTAGTACTAAATTAAAATGTAAAATCCATTCTCGTCACAAGTAGACAGGTGTAGAAGACATGGTGGCTCGGGAGAAGAGCGACCCGTAGACAGAAACTACAAACAGGTTTTTTTTGCTGGCTCCTCTGCCTCCTGCTGTGCACCCAAAGCGTCTCTTTTGCGGGATGAAGCTGTCTGATGGGGACTATTTTCTTTGTTGCTCTCCACGACTCCCTGGACAAAGACAGATACAACTTCATGTTAGACAATGACAGCATTGCCCATCTATGCTCCTCCACATCCCAAAACTGAGACGTGTGAAATGTGGAGGTCACACTTGCAACAGTTTGTATCACTTTGTTGTAAGTGAATATTAAATGGTGGTGGTGGCGCAATGGATAAGATGCCCGCCTTTGGTGTGAGAGATCAAATCCCCACTGTGACCCATGCACCAATGTGTACCTGAGCAAGACACTTAACCCATAGTTGCTTCAGAGGTGTGCAACATATATACCAATTGTAAGTTGCTTTGGATAAAAGCGTCAGCTAAAAGAATAAATGTAAAAAATAAAGATGACATTCTACCAAGGGAGCACAGCACCACCTTGTGGATAAAATATGCCACTACACACAGCTAATACAACGACAGACAGTAGAGTGCTGTGGAGCAACTGACAACAATCATCAGAATCGGCTTTTATTGCCTGGTATGTGTACACATGAGGAATTTGACTCTGGATTGTACATTGCTCATGATGTGCTTACTCATACAAAAATACAAAATCACAATAATAAAAATAAAATCAGACAGACTTCAGTGTAGACAACACAAATATACACACTATGAACAAAAACAATATAGACATATAGACAAATAGTGCAGAGAGCAGAGTGCAAAGGATGCAGGAATATGTATGCATGTTGGAGGTGGATGTGATATACAGGTACATATACATGCATACATGTACACATGTATACAGTGCAATGAAGCATAGAGCAAAGGATGCTGGAATAAATAAGTATAAGTATTTTGTGCAGGAGGAATGAATTGAGGTAGGTGGATTTGGTATACAGTATCTACAATATGACAATATAACAGTATAAACAGCTCAACCACTTACAATAGTGCAGCCTACCCGGGAAGGTCAGTACGTAATGAAAATAAAAAGGTTAAGGAGGATAACTGTTTTAATCGTGACCGACAGCACGTTACAATTGCTTCACCCATAGACAAAGGACTTACCATGTTCTTCTGAACAGCATGTTCTTGTGTCCACTTCCTGGCTTTCTCCGTGAACATCTGTTTGTTGTATTTGAACTCCGATGACTGTATTCAAAAATATGTAAGCGTCTCTTTACAGGTATGTATATATACACGCGCACACACAAACCTATATATACACATATTTACACTACTGTAATTTACGACTGAAATAGACTGTATTTGAAGAGGTAAAGGTGTTTCAAACTGATATCTAAACAAGTTATTCTAGCATTTAGTAAAACCTCTGGCTTGTAATAAAAATACAAATTGAAAAGAGCATTAAATTATTTGATACAAATTTTAAGCATAGTATTATTTAGATCTCAGACATTCTGATGTCCAAAAACAAGTTGTTACAAAATCTCTATTGTCACATATTCATATTTTTTTATTAGAATATCATAAAACTTAAATTAATAGCCCAGGCTTGCAAAGATGAGAAATAGGCTACTATCAAATTGTTTATTTCAACCAGTATGAATATTACATGTATAAAAATTACATATGAAATACAGATCATTCATTTAGCTATTAGAGACAGCCCATCAAGGCCAACCTCAAGCACAGAGGGAGAGAGGCTGACCATACAGGTAAATCTGAGTGTATTATACTTTGGTGCTCATAATTAAGTGAACAACTGAATTATGGAGAATCTAACTGATGTACAATATGTAGCGTGTCCATTTTAACAAACGTTTAAAAATTTATATTTGTATGTCCAATCTTAGCAACTTAGAACTACAACTCAAGCAGGCGACCCGGTGGGCTTTAAGAGGTTTTATACATCCAAAGAACTTCTATAAAAACCAGAACAGGCGTCTTATTGAGACCTGCGTTTATTTGTCAAAATGTGTAGCCACACCAGTCAAGTCAAAGGGACAGGCGTCTAATTGGGACTAGGCTTTTGATTGAAGTTTTATGGTATTCAAAAAAACAAATGAAACCATCAGTGTGATTGTGTATCGAGTTTACGGTAATCTAACAGACAGCATATCTGTGAATGCAACATTACACGTTACTCACTATATCAGCCATGAGTGGGTCGTCTGGATTTGGCTCAGCCATGAGCAGCTGAATGGAGGTGAGGACTGTGGAGATGTTTAGGGATGGCTTCCAGGCTCCCTGAATAAAATGAAAGAAAAAATAAAACAAGCAGAAAACATTAAATCTCCTAATTTATTTGACAGCAGTCAATCAAAACCAGATAACTAGAGGTGAAACACAGATCATATTATGTTTTCATTTGTAATCTGTAACAACCTTTGGCGGGAGTTTGAGAGCATCATGGCATATACGTCCTGAATTGTCGATATTTGGGTGGTAGATGGGGGTCAAGAATCGGATTTTGGGAGGCTCGAATGGGTACCTATGGGAGGAAAATAGCAGGCCTGTCTTACTAGACTGCAGTAAGTGTTGATAAGGTGGAAATGGGAGAGCGAACACCTCCACCAATGTAGACCTTTGAGAACATGTACCTCTCTGGGACTTTGATCTCCAAGGAGAAGAGTCCACCTTCATATGGAGTCTCTGATCCGCCCACTATCTCTGTAAACCAGAGGAAGAAAATACATGATCAGGTAGCTCAAACAAGTAGCTTGTCATATGTGTGGTATACAGTCTTGGACAAATGCAGTCTTAGTTCCGTTTCAAAGCCTTAACGCAGAGAATGCTTACGCGCCCGGAGGTCGTCTATCCGCTCTTCGGTCTGCCAGCATGTTATCCCGGGAGGTGGCTCGGTGCTCAACATCTGAAGTTCACGCTTTAAACGGGAAGCCCTCTGCATTCTGCCGAGCGGAGAATAAAGCGAGCAGGGACGAGTCTTGGTTAATGCTTCACAAGCGCCTAGCAAGAAGAAATGTTGCCTCCTCGTGTAACGTTATTCATGTATTCGTTTTGACCACACAGAAAACCTTCACTCGTTTTATAGTGCAATTATCTCAGGGTGTACTGTCAAATGTTGCTTTTGAAATCAATTTTAACTTTAGCTAGCTTGTTAAAAGCTAACGTTTTAGCTGCTAAATGATATGCCAACGGAAACACGTTTATGAATCCAATAACTAACGTTACACCCTGTTGAGGACAATTTGTTATTTACTCGATACTGAATTGCAATAGCTTACTCCTTGCCCGCCTTAACAACTGTTCACAGCCGCTGTTTGTATTACATTCACAACAGACCGCAGCGGACCGTTTGGTTTTCCCTCTCCCTACGTCATCAACACCGCCCGCGTTCTTTTTCTTCTTCTTCTGTTTTAGTGCAGTCCCAACCGCAGCACGGTCGCCTCCTACCGTTGAATCCGGCGGCGTCTCGTCGCCTGTTGGAGATGTGTGTAAAGCAAGATCTGTTTGGAACTTTGTAACCAACACCCAACATTAATGCATTACACCGGAATATGGAGCTCTATTTATTTATTTTTTAAACAAATTTATATTAGCCTGTATGTACACTTTCACTACATAGCCTTTGTACAGTATAACTTATGCAATACATAGTTATTTAACTATGTATATGAATAATTTCCTTCAAGATAAATTATTGTAGTTTTTTTTTTTAACTTTTGTGACAGTTACTTGATATCTGGAGCCAGCAGCTTGTCAAACAGAAATGAACAGCATATCCTTATTTAATGTCAATCATATCAAACAGCTTTACAGTTTAATCAAATATAGGGTAGTGTCTAGTCTAGTCTAAGACCCCTCTGTATCAAGGAAATGGTCAACAAGGCAGCTCTACAGTGTGGTTCAGCTGAGAGGTATGGAAGATTTTAGGGAAGGAAATTAAATCAAACACAGAAATACAATACACACTGATATGACTTACATATTTTCATTTAATTTTCTGTGTTGTGATTTGATTTTGATGTGGTTTGGAAAATCCGTGTCACAAATGAAAAACAATGTAGTTATTTAAAACAATTAACACAATCAATGCATAAAATGCAAATACAACCAACAATGTGTATTGTATTTTACTTAATTTCTGTGTTTGATTTGTTTTCATTTAAGCATTTAAAATACACACAATTTCTCATTTGCGGTTTCATTTCAGTCTTATTTTCCAGCAGTGGCAAAGATAGCCTGAAAAACAATGTGTTTGTGTTGTCTGTCTTCCATTCTGACATCAGTGAAGCCAGAGTCTCTCAGAGCTGCCATGTAGGCCTGCGGGCGCCAGTTCTCTCCTGGTATCACTCGCTTTGCTGCAAAAGTAGCCACACGGAACAGCCTCAGCGTGGTCACCATCAGCCCTCCTGGGTGGGGTCAAGAAAGAAAAAAATGACATTTGTTCAGAGATGCATCACTGAAAGACAGCAATTACTCATGAAAATCCAAACGAGGAGTAAATCACCAAATCATCTGAGAAAGGTCATATACCTGGTTTCATTACCCGGTGTATCTCTGTGGCTCCCTTCCTGAGGTCAGGCCAGAAGTAGTAGCAGTTACAATGAAAGACTTTATCCACAGAGCTGTCTGCCAGAGGCATTGCTGCGACATCACAGTGATGTAGGGTCACTTTCCCACTGGCCAAAAATTCTTTCAGTTGCTCACTTGCCATCTGTAAGAGAAGAAAGAGAGAAATATTCTACTATTCCAAAAGTGAGTAATGTTGCCCCTTCAATGAAGCCACTTACGGTATGTATAGTATATTTTAGGAAGGCTAGAGAGGCTTATTACTGTGTCTTGTGCTTGGTTCTTATAAGACACTCCTTCTGTGACTTCAACACATGCATGTTAAATAGAAACATAAATAGAATTTAAATACTTTATTCCACTCTGTCAGTATTCATACTTCACCTGGTGCATGTACTCTGAGTAATCCACACCTATAAGGTGACCTGTGGGCTCTGTGAGTAGTTTGACTGCTGACTGCAGACCAAGTCCTGGGCCATGACCCAGCTCCAGCACTGTGTCCCCAGGTTGGATCCCACTCAGCTGCACAGCACTCTCTTCGAGGACCCGGTTGTGCGATGTGAGCAGTTTACTGACCAGCCACCCAGTTACTGATCGTGTCGGATTGCCCAACTGTTTCCCCAGTTTTTCAGCCCACATCACTGGAGAAATATGACAGAAAACAAGTCAGCAGTTTTTCTTTTCTTCTTTTTTTCTTTTCTTTTTTACACAGGTGGCTTCAAAACAATTTTAGATATTTGCCACCCCAAACTGCAATGCAAATTGTTCTAAATTGCTTAGACTGTGACCTCTTGTCTGGTCTTCTGTTAGTGTGGGGAGTATACAGGTTAAAAATGCATTGAAATAGTTACAGCTTAATATAAAATACATTTATTAAATCTCAGTACCACTACTTTAATATTTTGTAACACGTAATAAACTTTGTGTGAAACATACACCTTTCTCTTCTTTTTCTAATACAAACAAACTAACTAACAAAGCTGAACTGCAAAATCATGTATTCTAATACACGTAGCTTTTCAAGTTATCAGCAAACAGTTCGGGTGACAAACTGGGTCAGATGGAATATTTGATGGTGGCTTTTCTGTAATGTTGAGTTGGACTTCAACTTCTTACATTAAGTTAATGTTTAACCTGCTGTGTGAATCAATAAAGACACACAAAAAAACAACTAAGCCAGAAAATTTGTAGAATTTCTGTACAGGCTTTTGTAAACTGTATATTCCTATTGTTGTTTTTATACTTTCAACAATTTCACCTCCACTAGGTTTAGTTTTGTATGTTTATAAATTAGAAACTAGAGCATGATGTGGTCATTTCAACTGTCATTTTCATTGTTATTTCCTCTCTGTATGTCAGATAGCCTATACTTTATAAGTTTATAGTTGTTGGTACTGTAGTCTATATCAATTAAATAGGTTAATGTTTTTGTTAAAGTGTATAAACTCTGTAGTCGTTGCAAGTCTGTCAACTTCAAACATTAGGGTCTCACCATTGTTGCTGCACTATTGAATAGAGCAGTGGTCGGCAATAGGCGCTTTGATAGCAGAAAAATAAACACAAATAAATTGATAGTGGCTGGGTGCTGAAATAGATCTATCATGACAGGTACAGTTACTCCCATAATCATTTCCTCTTAAGTGAACGTGCTTCCAAAATAAAAGCGTGAGAACTTTTTTTGCAGCAATGCTTTATGTCGACTTTATTGAGACCTTTTACTTTGAAAAGTTCTAAAGGACATTCAAAAGAGTCTCTGGCTTGCTTGACATACCTCATAAAAAGCCGTCAGTAAATGTGTGATCAGATTCCATAGGTTTATGAATGCAGACCACACACCAGGATGCGCTCACACACTGCAGCACATGCTTTATTGTGAGCATGTGAAAAAGTGTGCTTATAATAATAATAATCTTTATTTGTAGAGCACTTTTCAAAAACAAGTTACAAAGTGCTTTAACAAGTGTAAAGACAATAATACCCAAGAGACAATAATACAAAAACAATACAAGATAAAAGCATGAAAACATTGAAAAGACTAAAATACACGTTTAAGATAAATATCAAATTAGTAAAATACAATAAAATAAAAGGGATAAAATAAAGTCAAATAAGATCGGGAAAGAAGTATGTTTTAAGAAGGGACTTAAAAGAGTTCACTGACTCAGCCGACCTGATTTCCTCGGGCAGGCTGTTCCAGAGCCTCGGGGCCCTGACAGCAAACGCTCTGTCCCCTTTAGTTTTCAGTCGAGACTCTGGAACAGATAGATAATCAATTTGCTTAACAAGGGAGAAAACATCGGCTATATGTTGGGATCGATCTCACAACTCTCCCAAAGTCCCGCACACTTCCAACTGAGCTAAACGTGCACCCAAACATCTAATGATTTAAAATTATTTGACTATGTTGAAAAAAAATTGACCCGATGGCAGACTTATTTTGACCCCTGGACTAGAGCCCATGCTACTTGCATGCTAAACACCTTACCTATAGTTTGTCGTTTAGTAGTGTAATCCTGAAAGCAGTGTGCTCCTGTAAACGCCGCCTGGTTGGTCTTCCTGTAAGTGTAGGAGGAGCTCCAGGGTCTATTTCTGTTTTTTTTTACGCGCACGCGCCGCTCCCTCCCGGCTGTCGCCCACATTACTTTCTCACACTCCCACGACTTTAATCACTCACTTCCTGCAATTTTCACTTGTTTCCCCGCCACAAGAATCCTTCATTTAGCCCTAGATATGTATTGCGCGAAAGTGTGAACCCCCCCACTGGCACAGCTTGTCCTTATACTTTATTTATATCAAAAGATAATTTATGCAGGGGTCCCGTAAGTATGCTGCTGGACCGCGCTCCTATCAAGTGCACACAAATGTTTTTTTGGAAATGTCCTCTGCGGTTGCTTCCTCCAATCAGCCTGTTTTGCACACACCCCCCCTGCAAGGATGAGTGTTTCTTTCGTTTTCATTTCCCGGAAGGCTCGAATGTGAAAATTGTAGACTTTTTATTTCTTCGAAAGTTAAATGCATGCCTCATTTAAAATGGACTTCGGGGAGTTTTGATCTGCAGATTATTTCATTTATTGGACGAGTTGTATGTCTGCTTACAAGGAAGTCATCCAGTTTTTTCGGACGGTTGAACAGATAAAGAACATTTCCATGGAGAACATTTCCCAGTCACCTTTGGTCAAGGTAAGTTAAGGTCTCAGGAGCAAACTGTTTTAAAATGCGCTGTGAACCAGGGAGACTTTTTTCAGGTTGAAACTTTCAACTTTAGTCCATGGCCAGCTGCTGTTGTTTAGGCTACTGAAAATTTTGATTTTAGGTAAAGTGTTTTAAAGTTTTGCATTGCTGTTTCTATAGCCTATGCCTGCCATTCAGTGAGGTGTATTTGTTTGGATGTTTTGTAGCAAGAAAACAGAGCAAGCTGTTCTACATCCATAACCCATGGAGTGCAAGTAAGCAATCCTCTCAATGTGCATCACTCCTCCCCTAACCAGTTTCCTTTGGTCGGTCCCCCCTCTCAGGAAGACCTGTGGCATCTACCTGGACGGCTGCGTGAGTCCAACCTTATTCTCTGTTTGAATGTCCTTTGTTTACCAGTCCAGCAAAGTCTACTCTACTAAAGCAACGCCGCTTGTAACACTGTGTTTTTGAATCATGTGCACCTGTGTTTCAGGAATAAACCCATCTCTGTGGGATAAGGAGGACGTTGCCCACTGGCTCTACTGGGCTCAGAAGGAGTATTCACTGCGGCGGCCTGAAAAGGGGCGCTTTGAGATGAACGGTCGAGCCCTGTGCCTGCTCACAAAAGAAGACTTCAGACGCCGCTGTCCCAGCTCAGGTAGAGATAAGTGTGTATGTGTGTGTGTATGTATATTTTTTTGTGCCTGGGCTTTCATATGCACCCCCTATTTTCTACAGGTGATGTTCTGTATGAGATCTTACAGTGTGTAAAGCAGCAAAGGAGGAGTGTTGTCTGTGACCCCTCAAACACGTCTTCCTCCACGGCAACTGGGCACACTGAGAGCCCAGTCAGCTGCCAGATACCCCCTCAGGATGTCCAAGAGCCCCAGCCTTCCCCGGTGAATGGCACCCAAGGTCAGTAACGTTAGTTAGTACATTTTAAACATGTATAGATTCAGTTTTATCGGTCATGTATACAGGAAATTTGATTCCAGTTCTTAGTAGCTAACAACATAGGCTTCTCAAACCAAGTGCAGAGAACAAAATAACAGGACAATACAGATACAGACATACAGCAAAACAAATATAATCAAACTTAAACATATAGCTACAATATATAGGAAAGATCTGGACAATAAAACCATCAACATTAAGGTCAGTTTGTTATTGTATGCACAGTATGGTACAGCTAGTGCAGGCAGTGCAAAGAGCACATACACATTCTCTACATGCACAGTGTTCATAAACTGTTGATTGTCTGAGTTTGTCGCACATCAAATCAAACTTGTTTATCCTGGTTAGACTGTGGCACGAGAACTTCCTGATCAGCCGCATGTACATGTGCAAACACATCAGGAATTCATGCTCGCCCCTACGCTTGTTTTACTGTACATCCATGGGCTTCTTTTTCCAAACGCTAAAGTTTAACCCTGACCAATGACAGCCTACCCTCAGCCCCTATGCGAGTCAAATGAATCTTTCTCTCTGCTTTTTCTATACGTGTGTGTGTGTGTGTGTGTGTGTGTGTGTGTGTGTGTGTGTGTGTGTGGGAGGGGGGGGGGGGGGGGGGGGGGGGGATATAAGGCCCACTCTCAGGGTGTTAAACAGTTGTAAGCAGCACTTTAATGTTGTTGCTGGTCCAGATGTTGAGAAGTCTCACTACATTATATGCTGTTAGATACTTTAATACATTGCAGTGCATAATAATATATAATGTGCTATGTTTTTTGTGTTATGTAAAATGTTTATTTGCAGCTGCACCCATCAGATAAACGTTCATGGTTAGTGAGAACATTTTACCCTTCATTAGAGAATATAAACACACACGCTCTTCGTTTGTCCCTACCAGAAAAAAGGTGCTTTCTGATATAGAAAGTAGGATGTGTGCCAGTGGGTGTGTTGTGGTTACCTGGAAACCAATTATCTTAGATAAGACTTTCCAGAGTCCAAAAACAAAGACTTTGTTCTACATACTCTATGCAAGTAGGGAAATGGCCTCTTCGTGTTGTACAATGAATTAGCCAATAATGTAAAATGTTTGAGCTGCTGTTAACACTTTTTATCACTTTTGCTTTCGGTTTAACTCTTGTTCACAGTTCCTCATATTTCTATCTCACAGTTTCCCTCGCTTTCACAACTCCAGTGTCGGCAGCTGTTGTAGCCACTGTGACCAGCCAGCCCCAGCCCATGTCACCTCTCAGAAATCGTCCCCCGATCCTTTACACCTGCCCTGCTCCACTCACAAGTACTAGTGGGTATAACAAACGGCGATGTCAGAAATATAGTGCCCCGCGGCTGTTACTTACCGTGTTGACTGATTTTCTGACCCTCTCTCTTTGTTGTTCTCTGCGTCTTTCCTTTCACCCTCACTTAGATGGATCAGCAGATGTCGTCCAGTGTCCTACCCGAAAAGAGAGCATCACCCAGGAGCCGCTCAACCTGTCCAGTCGAGAGAAGCCAAGGAGCCCGCTGCACAAAGCCAACGGTCGCATTCCAGGTAGTGTTGTGTGAATTTATTAGCAGTTGTACTACAGAATTCACACATATACAAAAACAAATGTATATTGTCCTAGAGAAGATAATAAAAATTGTAAATCCTTTGAAACACTGCATCAAGCTATTTTAGACCACTAGGGGGTAGAAATTACTCCGCTCCTCAACTTCCTATATTTTTGGACACCCTGTAGCTGCGGTTTTAGTCTGCATAAGAAAAAGATCTCTTTGGCTTGCTGAACAATTGTTCTTCAGCCACATTTTTACTTCAGCTGTCCTCTGTGTCACTGATTTTGTCCTTGAGGCAGAGCATAGAGCAATGCAGACTTGAAAACCTTAGCTCTGAGCTGCATATAGCGGCAGACTAGGTGGTTTATTGAAAGAATAAATAATTCAATTCAGTCAAAAATATTGCTTAGCGGAGCTTTAAGAGTGACAGTCTTACACAGTTAAGTATTAAAAAAATTAATCCTTTGCTTATGGATATTTAATAGAGCATTACCTGTCAATACCTGTCATTGACGATAGTAGTATACGTGTTACATGTTACTTATTGCTATTTTAATCATGGCCAGAGTGCAGACTGCTGTGGGACTATGTCTATCAGCTGCTGTGTGACGACCGTTACCAAGAATACATCCGATGGGAAGACCAGGACAGCCTGGTGTTCAGGGTGGTCGACCCCAACGGACTGGCACGTCTCTGGGGAAACCACAAGGTGAGCACCCAGGTCTGTGAGATTCACCTTACAGGGAAAATGAACACACGGGCGGAGAGACAAAACAGCCGAAGCAGGGGACATGGGAGCAGAGTAAATGTTGTACTGCAGGCCCTTGATGACTTGTGATCTTTTTTTACAGAACCGAGACAATATGACCTATGAGAAAATGTCCCGTGCTTTGCGTCACTACTACAAGCTCAACATCATCAAAAAGGAGCGGGGGCAAAAACTTCTTTTCAGGTCTCTGTCCCCTTTCTCTTTGCCATTCTTCTTCTGTCTTTCCCCCGCAACCACACACACATTTATTGTTATTACCTCTTCTCTGCCTCCGCTCAGGTTTCTGAAACTCCCACAGGGCGTCAGGAAACTACAGGCTGACCCTGCTGAGTCACCAGAACACAGCCCACCTCAGGACGGGGACTTTCCAAACGGCAGTCCTACACATGAGTTCAGTGAGGACAATTTTGAGGTTTCCCCTGATCGTGCTTCTCCACAGCCTCCTCCATAGGAAAAAAAAAAGATTGTTAAATGTCCTAAATACAATACAACAAGACAAATTATTACAGAATAAAATGGAGATTGTCAGAAAATAACCCACACATGTACAGGTTTAAAGGACCAGTGTGTAAGATTGGCAGAATAAAGCCAAAATGGAATATTAATAGAATTGTTTTCATTAGGGTATCTAAATCTAATGTACCTGAAACTAAGAGTTGTATTTGTTGCTTTAAAATGAGCCCTTTATATCTACAGAGGGAGCGGGTCCTTTTCCACTGAGTCTGCCATGTTTCTACTGTTACCCAGAACGAACAAACCAACCACTTTCTCTAAAGGGGGCCTTTTGTGTTTTTGGCGAGTTTAGCGGCCACTGTAGGTTCTGGGAACGGGAGGCGTAGGGGAAGGGTTATCACTTGGTTGAAATATGCAGCCTCACTGCTTGATGCCACACTGGTCCTTTAACAAAATGTGCAGTTATGTGAATAGTTAGGAATGTTTGGACTGTGAGATAGCTTTTCATTTTGCTGTGAATCAACGTATGTATGACAGTGATCAGGGTAAACACTAAAATTAAGGGATGACGGAAATTATGAAAGTAATCACATCAATATTCAAACAAACCAACCAATCATCAGAAACTAAATTTCTCAGGTTTGCTCAGTATAATTGCAGTACAAAAGGTTATTATTCAGATACTATATAGGTCTTGCAGAGAAGTGGTGGAAACTGTTGAAGTTGTTGCAGTTTGTTTTGTGATCGTTTGTGTTCGCACAAAAACATGTGTTGCAGGTTAAATGCCAGTTTGTACAGTTTATTTTACAAATAGTTTGCTTTATTGACCCCAAGTCGAGGTATTTAAGTTTGAAATTTGATTCAATGTATAGATTGATTGTCAATGTTTTTCCTGCTTTGTAAAATAAATATTTTGTATCGTACCTCCCTAATTTGACAAATACATCTCTGTCTGAGTGCTCAAATGATGTCTTAGAACAGTTATTATTTTATTACAGATGTTCAGGGATGAGATCGGCCCCTTTGGTGAATAATCTAGTTATGACAACTGATCATTGAAGCCTGAAAAGCAACATGTTTGGAAAACAAACAATCATTCACAGTACTCCTTGTCTAACTCCGGCTTCAAATGTGGCAGCTGTACCTTCAGGGGGTTCTTTGATAGCATAATAACCAATCGCTCAGCTGCAGATATATAATCATACCTCTTTGACAGCAGAAATTATGACATTTCAATTAGTTTAAGTCAAATTACTTTATTTCACCAGGATAATACACCCAGTATCAATACTGTCTTGGGTACATATTAAAATAAAGTAAAAATAAATAAAATTCTACTGTCAAAAAAACAATTGCACTAGTAGAACAGGCAATGTGTTTTTTTTATTTTCAAAGCTATAAGATATATTAAACCAGTGACTACTTTTGTGAAAGGTGCTGCATTGCATTAATTAGAAATAATTTCAGTAAAAAAGGAAAAGTGGGATGAAGAAAAACTCACGCAGAAGAATCAGATGAACGTGTTAACTTTTTGTTTCCTTGATTAGGAAATCTGAAAAAGACAAAAATGTAAATATAAAAGAAAAGGCACAGTCAAAGATTTTTTAACCTAAAGGTTAAAAAATTTAAAGGTAACCTAAAGGTTAAAACATTTGTTAAAACTAACAGGATTTATGGTGCAAAGATGTTTGTCTGTCTGTGAAATCCTTCTGAAAGAAAGCGCTTGTTTCTGTTGGTTTGTGCTTTTCATTCATTTGTTCAGCATTGTCAAAGATTTTGAGATTTTTGTATTTTAGTTGTGTCACATGGAAGCCAGCCTGGGATAAGCAAACCAAAATCATGTTAGCTCGGACACAAAAGTCATTGGATGTTAAATCACATGGGCATGACCGACATGGTATGTCTAATTGAGACTGGCTTATAAACACTGATTTTGAAACCGTCGCCCATTTTCACTGGATAACTCATCTCAGCCTGCTTGATCTTGGACCACTTTTAAAAGAACAAAAGAAGATTTTACTTTCATCATATACAGAATTTAATTGAGAATTATTACCATTAGAAAATGGCTTCTGGAGTTTTCAGTTGTCATTATTGTGAAGTTCCTCCTTCCATCTCCTTCTCTGGATCTGGCTTTTTGGCCACCTACCAGCTAGGGGTAGCCCAGTGCTTCCTAAATTTTGCACCCTGGATACTGCGTGCGGCACCTTGTGTCCTGGGTGCATCTGCTGGGTCTCTGGTAGCAGCTGCTGTTGTCTGTGAAATGAGCCCGAGTAAGTGACCTTATTGTTATTGTATTTTTTAAAGTCTACTTCTGTTCATGAAATTACTGTCTCTGACTCAACGTCTTCTATTTTACAGTTGCTATGCGAGATGAGATGATACGTTTTGCCAAACAGATGAAGGCTTTTACACTTGGCCCATTACACCCCTCCATTAATGTTTTCCACTGGTTGGAGTCCATATTACTCAAACATCTTCCCTTTAATGCGCACCAACTGGCCAGTGGGCGTCTTGCTGTGGCTATGACCCGCATCACTGATGGCAAGCTCATTATGATGTCAGAGTTCCAGTCCAAAGAGGATGTTGTGCAGGTGAGTTGGTACTACAAATTCACACTAATGCTTTTTAAGAAAGCTGAGCAGGTTAGTAACAAATTAAGACATTAAGCATAATTGTATTACAATTTTTACTACCAGGCTTTGCTATGTAGCTGCTTTGTGCCTGTTTACTGCGGTATGCTGCCTCCATCCTTCAAAGGAATAGTGAGTATTTGATAGCCATTTCACACACTCACTTTCAGCACATTGTTTCGACTGTATCATCATGAGTGTGTTATTTTCTCACAGCATTATGTGGATGGGGGTTTCAGCAGCATGCAGCCAGTACTCCCTGCACTCTGCAGTCAAACCTTGACTGTGTCCCCCTTCTCTGGAGAGGTAGACATCTGTCCTGCCGACACACCTTGCATCATGGACATGGTAGTGAGTGGAATCACCTTGAAGGGCAACATGGCCAACAGCTTCAGGATCATCAATGCTCTCTACCCCATGGCTTTAGAGGTCAAACCTCTGTTGTATCTAGAGTCTAGATGGTTTTTAAAGATGAATGTAACTGTTTTTGGATAAGCAGACATTACATTGATGTATTTTAACTACTGATTTAATCTTTAATGTACAGGTTAGATAGTGGATTGCGTCTGTTGCTTTTGTAGCTAAAAGGGTAAATGTTTTAATTGAATTTTGTACTGTTATTTTATTTTTGCACTGTTAGATTTGCTGTCCTGCTCCCCTTCTTGGCCAGGGCGCCCTTGAAAAAGAGATTTTATCTCAATGGGTTTTTTCCCCCTGGTTAAATAAAAATAAAATAAAATCAACCCTTTACCACACACCTGTTGATGAATGTAATGGCAGAAAATAGTTTTTTCTTCTCATTATAATCTTTTATGCCCAAATTGTTGTGGAAAATTGTGGTTTTCCTGGTGAGGGATTGAGCACATAATTGAGTTACAACAAACTGTTGTCTTTTGAAGAATTTATAAGTACTATAATACAAATCAGCTGGACTACATTTTCGGTCTCCTAGGACAGTCACTAACATCTGGCCCAGAGCAAAGGGATGCATAATCATTTACACAATATAGGTTTCTATGTTTTGGGGAAAGGAAAGGTAAGGCAAAGAAAGGAACAGCTAGTAAGGAAAACAATAAAACAACTTCACATCTCTGACCTAAACCCTAAATACGTGGACAGACTAGAATAATGAGTATAATAATAAAAGGAACAGGTTAAAGATTAAAAACAATATATAAGACATAATAATAGAAAATAGCACTATTATAAGTACTTTCATAAAAGATTATAAGAAGAAGAAAACCAATTTTCTGTAACTCAATTATTTGCTCAATCCCTCACCAGGAATACCACAATTTTCCACGACAATGAATCAATGTAATTTACGTGCACTTGCCCAACAACAACACTGTAAAATTTTGTAACATTTCATTTGTATGTGATTCTTTCTTCCTTTAGACTCTGGAACAAGCCTACGACAGCGGCTACAGAGATGCAGTTCATTTCCTCCTGAACAACAGTGGGTCAGCTGTATCTACAGGGGAAAAGTTGTGTAATTGAATGTACTGATTTTTGTAGATTCACTCTGACGTACTGTCTTTATTTCTCTTTCACATCTTCCCCTTCGTGTGCAGATCTTGTCCCGTATTTGTTGATACACAGAGTTTCCGAACTTCCACTTATCTACAACCAAACTCAAACATGGAGGCATCTGGAGGCCACCATAGAGGAAGATAAGGAGGCGAAGATGGAAAAGGAGACTCCTACACAGATATCTTCTATAGACAATAGAAGCATGCAGATCGACAGTTCTACTGATCATGAGTGGGCCAGAAATCGACTGAGTAAAGAACCTCCTCTCCATTTTGACTTGATAAAGAATGGTATGGTTGCCAGACATGCACACACACACACACACACACACACACACACACACACACACACACACACACAGACACACACACACTCTCACACACACACACACACACACACACACACACACACATTTAACGGTCTACTCTGAACTAGGATCTGTCTGCAGTTTGTCAGATCATATATGTAAATAAAGGTTCAAAACATTCAGATTGTTACACTAACCCTAAAGTTTTTGCCAACATGTGTTTCAGTTCTGCTGGGGAACGTGGTGACCTATCTAAGCATGTTTGGACTCTCTGTAAGAATCTTATTCCACCTGCTCCTACCCCTCATGCTGTTGTTTTACCCCATACTCCAGAGTAGGCACAGGTAATAAATACACCGAACACACATTACATAACACAGACAGAATTGTAACAGCCATTTAGGATTAATTGCATGGATCGTGTGCTGAGAAATACAAGGCTATGAGGCAGAACAAGTTTACATTTTCTCAGGTTTAAAGGAACAGTTCAACATTTTGTCAAATCTAACCATTAACCGGTTAACTGAACTTAGCATGAAGACTGGAATCTGGAAACACTCGTAAAACTTCAATCTGATGTTTATATTCTGTTTTTTGTACAATTTAGATATAGCATGTTAATTAGTAAGATTTACAGGCATTTAGGTCGTTGTAAGATCAGTTTTGTTACCTCAGGCAAGTTGTTTCCCTCTGTTACCTGTATTTATGCTATGCTAAGCTAACTAAGTGGTATCAATCTTATCATTTAAATCTTTGCGAGCAGACGATTAATCATATTCCCCAATATGTCAAACAATTGGTTTAAGACATATCCAGAGGCATCCATACATTTGCACTAAATAATCTAGACCAATGAATCCCACATCATACTTAACCCTTGCAAGTCTATTCACCTTGACATTGTTTAGGTCACGCTTATGTTTTGGTTTTAGTTATGGTTTGTTTGGTTGTGCCCTTATACAGAAACACCAACACTAAGTCTGTTCTCTCTCTCCCAGACTGGAGGTGTTGTTTAGGAAAGCGCCTGAGTTGGTGTTCTGGGCTTGGTTAAGCCTGAGACACTTCACATTCTTCTTTTTCAACATACTTGTTTGTAGCCTCAAGAAGAACATAAATGACCGGTAAGTTACTGATATTTTCTTTGTAACATCTCATCTCATCTCATTTTCAAGGCAACCTCACTTGATTGAATATAACTCAACTGAACTCATCTCTATGTTTTAGAGTTACGCGCTTCATCCTGCTGTTGTTGTGGCTGAAACTTCAAGCACAACATGAGGCTACACAAGGGCAGAGGCCCTCTACACCTTCAGACGATGCCCATCTGCCCATTCAGAGATTGCAAGGTGTGGGAGTCTACACAGATGGTTAATTACTCCATCACAGGATTACAAGAAACCATAATTACAGTATATGTAAGCAAAAAGTATTGAAGGTTGAGTCTTGTTTTATTTAAAAGGGGTTTTATTTGATTTTTTTGTACTACAGTATCAGTAGAGTGAAAGGCCTATTTGTAGAAGTAACTGGTTCTTTTACAGTCAACATGGTACTGGATTTGCAGTAGAATCAAACATCAAATTAACAAACAATACTACACTTAGCACAGAAAAGTTTTATAACACTAATCAGTGTTTAGTCTGAAGGTGATATAGGGTCAAATGTCTGACAGCATGAATAGGTATATATTGTGTGGTCACAACAAGGCCCTTTCAGACACATGTCAACGCCACCACTGCCCTCTGAAAGACATTTGCAGTGCCTCGAGCTTCGCCAAGATGGCTTTTTGTTATGTTGAACAAAGCGCTTGTTGCTCACATGCGCTTGCACCAAAGTTCATCTAGATCTAATTGTGGGCCCAGAGTTGAAACCAGAGGTCAGCGCAGCGCAACTCTTGTTGTGACTAAAAGGGCCTTAAGTCATCAGGAGGTATGCTTCTTTGGAAATTGAAAGCTTGGCCCAATGTGGCACTAGGTAATAGGGTCTTGTTTCTTGCCCTTTAGACCCATCGCTGCATAACATACTTGGTGTAACTGTGTATGTTATGTTATGCTGTTCAACTATATCAATATAATCTTTAAAATCTACTTATCAAGCTTTTTTTTACAGAATACAATGATTTCTGTTTCTTCAAAACCCCAAAACTCACTGCTGACTGAACTGTGGACGTCAGAGATTCATCAGATAAACATCCCACCAATTTCTCAATTTTTCAATTATTCAAAGTTTTCACGGAACATTGATTCAAGTTGAGAGTTTAGCTCCAGGGCGCTCATCTAATAGGCCTTTCTAATTTCACTGGTCCTGTGATATGCTATTTGAACACTGCTCTCTTTCACTCCTTGTCCCCTAATGTCCAAGTATTTGCCACCTCACCACTATTGTTCAATGATTTGCTGTTAATCCTCATAGGTCTCTGGCATGCCCTCGTTTCCATTTCAGAAGTGGATGCAGGAAAATCTGCCTGGTTAGGTTTCACTGAGGGCTATGACACTTTTGATGTTGTAGAAACAGAAACACTGATTTCTTTTACTTCCATTGTAACGTATTGTAACCAAGATCAAAATGCTTTCGTAATTCTGTTCTTCTGTAGGCAAATTAATAAATGGTGCATCACTTATTTATTTTGTACAGTGCATTTTTATTGTTGTAAGCTATGCATTGCTGTTAGCCTTTGCTTTGTGTTTTAGTTTGTGAAACTTGATCAGTTAAGCCATTACTGAACTTTAACAACAGCTATACATTTAGATACAAACTGCTGCTCTGTAGGGCAGTCTTCTTCCAGACCTGTAACAATTAATTTTGGCCAACAGACATAAAGGTTGATTCTAATATTGGCTTGATTATGATGAACAGATATAAACATATGACCAACTACATATCAGGCTATGGCAAAATATTGCAGTGCTTAAGCTTGTCAGCAGCCAAAGAGCTGGCGCCCGTGACTGGGTTACTTATTTTGTGGCTGTAAAAACTTACAATTTAGTATGTCTTTAGGGAGTGGGTTTCTAATTAAACTGAAGGTCTGCTAACACTGAGGAGGGCCTTGCTTCTTTGTAAAATAAAATATAGGATTCACCCCCTTCTCATCCCAAAACATTTCACACAGATGATGTTGACAAAAACTGTTTGGACTGTTTGGAAATGCCATTTCATAAAACACCCACAAGATGGAGCATTAAGCACAAGAGTGGAGCACAGTACAGCCAGTTGACTGGGAATTTAATAAGTGCTGTGAAATCAAAAGGTCTACCGGATCTCTCAGCCTAAACTCTAGTCTGGGGATTTGGATAAAACTTTTTACCTGTACCAGCTTTGTACACTATTTTTAGATGCTGATAAGGGAGAAGGCTAGATACGCCACCTTAGTTTTAAATCCTTTATAAGCTGAAAGATGAGCGTGAATACAGATGCATTCTGGATCTGTTTTATCAACTGTTGGCATGGAGAATCACAGTCCCACCACATTCACCCTTTTTTAAAAGTATTTTTGGGCATATTCGTGCTTTTATTACAGACAGTACAGAGATGAGAAAAAATTAAGGAACCGAAAGATACAACACATATTCCCAGTCAGTCAACTTCTCAACTACACCACATTCAGTACAGTACACACTTGATCAGCTAATCCACACTCCTGCCTGAATGGTAACATGTGTTGTCACTGAGCCGGAACGGACCATTTGATCTCTGTGCCCCATGTCCTTTTCATACAGATGGTCGGTTACCTGCGGAGAGATCCTCTTATATAATGAGTGTGGTTGGATCATACGGATCACAAACACATCTGCTGCTGTCCTCCACCAGCCACTGATCCAGCCAGTCTGCCAGAACCAGCTGGCTTTGTAAAGGCAGAGATGAGACTCGATATTGGTGGTCTGTGAAACTGTAGGGGTTCATACATTCATGATTCTGTTCATTAAAAAAAACATGAGCACGTTTAATCTCCTCTCCTCTTCTCCTCGAGTACTAAAGTCCATAAAAATTTGATCTGAGGAAATGAGCGACATGGCTAAAATTAGAGCACAAGCTGCCCCCTGTCTCTTTGGTGATGATATCTCTAAAAGTACACGACTTTTTTACTAATCAGCTCTGCAACAGGGCACGTAGAGCGTACTTAGGTGAAGAGTCAGCACATAAGCAGACTGACATTTGTTTGTGGGTGTTTGTCCTAATTTGTTAGTCTTACCAAAAAGGTGTGGGTTGCTTTGTGTGTGAGAGACAGCAGAGGAGATTTAGATAGGGAGGTCAGCTGATGTTGCACTGATACAGTGTCACTGCCTCACTAATGGAGATGGAGCACCGAGGAGAAAAGAGGATGACCTTTGAGATGACAAAGAGGGTTGTGAACCACCTGACTTGCAGAGACTCTCTCCATCACATCACTTAAACAAGTTGAGAACAGATTGCTCTCCGAGTAAGATTTTGTAGTGTGTTTATGTGTGTTTGCTTGTTTAAAAAAAATCTGGTGCTCTCAGATGACACATGCCTTGATTGAGGAGCGAAAGGACAAGAAGTCAAGTGAGGACAGGGGAGGGAGGGGTGTTGATTATGTCTGATTAGGGACTGGTTCAACATGAGTGAGAGACATGAAAAAGAAAAGGGAGGGACATTCAAAAATGGTACAAAAAGCATACAGCAGCAAGACCATCAGAACTGATCATATGCAACATCTTGCCCACTTGCAAGGCCTGAAATGTTTTCAGGTCCACATTTATGTTACTTATGTTTATAAACTGGATTTTTGTCAATTTAATTTTTGTCACGTTTACATTGTAGTGGGCTGTGACTCAGAAGGCCGAGCGGGTCATTCACCAATCACAGGTTGGTGGTTTGATCCCAGGCTCCAAATGTCAGTGTCCTTTGTCAAAACACGGAATCAAGGAATATCTTTTTGGACTTCCTCAGACTCTCAGAATCTTATATAATCTCTACTCACACAGAAGCACAGATAAGGACTCTTTTTTTTCCCCTCGCTTCTTCAGGTCACATAGGCACAAACTTTAAAGTATTGCCACAATCACCTTATACTATATCTGCATTTTTTCAACAAATTTCTCTTTAAATAACATGGTTATTTTACATAAGTATCACAGTTCTCTCTGCTGTTTAAATGAATGTCGGGGGATTTCAAAAAATTCTATTACAACTACCTTGTTCCAGACCGTAATAGTCAAAGCTAATGACCCTCAGCAGTACTTTGTGTTTACTAGTAATTAGCAAATCTTATTCTAACTAAGATTATACCCACTAAACAACACCATATTAGCAAGTTAGCATTTAGCACAAAGCTCCGCTGTGTAAGTACAGCCTCACAGAGCTGCTAGCATGTCTGCAGACTCAAGTCTTATTTAAATTTTGTGAACATGACACCTCAACAGATTGTGAAAAGATAGAAGTTCTAGAAAATTCTTCGCCTTAAGATGCCTAGGGCTTATGTGACCAACTCTGAGTTTTTTTTGTCTGTCTTGAAGCTAGGTAATCTGTAGGATCTGGAAGGGATAATTTTGATTAATTCAGTCCACTCAATCAACAGACATAAACAGATGTTGGCAGGTTTCACTAGGGAGCACAACTTGCATGTTTTAATGAATGAGTGTGTTTTTTTGTGTGTATGTGTGTGTGTGTGTGTCCGACGTGGATCTCTTAGACCCTCAGCAGGGCCCTGTGATCCAACTGAGTAATAAACAGCAACAGATTGACAGTTTTCTGTTTCTAATCCTTTCCTCCTCCTCCTTGGAGGCTCCTTAAGAGCCCAGTCGATAAGATAAAGAAATACTGTCTTGACGATGATGCCTGGCACTAAGGTACATCTTTTCCTTGTAAAACAGACTGGCTGTGCTCCATTTGCCTTAATTCTGACTGACTTCATGTAATCATACTTTTAATTTAGAAAGTATTTCCTCATGTGTAATGTTCAAATTTAAATGTTTATGTGCAAATCTTTAGAAATCAATTAATTCAATTCAATCAACATGCTTTGGCAATAAATCTCCCCATCCTATCTGTTAATTACATAAAATACAATTTACAATTCATTTCAAGTTGTACATTTTCAACTGTATAGTCTTTGGTATATGGATACCAGGGAATGGTAATCTTGTATTGTTGCACTTACATGTGATTTGAAAGACTCAGAGGCTACCACTTTTAATGCATCCCATGATGGCTGCAATGAAAGACTTTCTGTTTTGTTCTGAGCTGATCTCACAAGAAGATGGTTTAATCATCACAGGCTTGTTATTCTCTCATGATAAGTGCATAAGGTGGAAAACTGTTCCAGTGCACAGTCGAGACTATTGTATCCCTGCTTGTGTTTAACCCCCCTTTTTTTTACCCCGGATACTTTCACTGAGAGTGCTGTTCTGTTTTCCCAGAATGTCCTGCTTGCACAGTTAGAAACATCACACCCAGTACAACTGGGTAGGCTGATCTGTTGGCCCCTAATGCTCCAGTGAAGCATTTGTGGATTAAGGGCCTTGCTCAAGCACACGTCAGCAGTGGAAATGTGGAGTGACAAAATCTGCACACTAACCTTCTACTCAGTGTACTTCAAATAACCAGGCTCCTATTTTCTTAATAAGAATCTTAATAATATTGGAATCAAGTAGAAATTATTTCATACTTTCTTTGGTAGCTATTTTGCCTTTCTTTCATTTAATTTAGTCATCAGCCATCATTAGAATAAGAACAGTACATAAGTCACGTAATTAATTTTCATACCCGTTCTGCTTGTTGTGAAAAGTTGTGAAAATAATCACAATTTAAAAGAGACGCAAGATAAGCCAATTTATTGTCATGACACCGCTGACAAATTACAGTTTGATTGTTCCCCTGATATTTTTTGCTTTTTTTACACTTTGATATCAAAATGTGAAAATGTCAAACCTGTTTTTGTTATCAAATTGCTTTTCTTTAGAAATAAAGAATATAATCAGAGCTTTGAGCCATGTCTCATAAGCATCTTTACAGAATCATTGATTTGACTTTTAAGGTTTGAGAATTGTGTTGTATGCTGCTTGCTATGTAGTAAAGAATGGATATTGTGTGAAATTTGTATGTATTTGAATTTGTATGAAAGCTGAAACAAAATATTAAAAATAAAAATAATAACAACAAATCAAAGTGTTTAGTTTACTGGGCCGTTAAAATCTGTGTCTTTCCCTTGCTGTATATGTGCGCACTATTATCACCAGCCACAGTTAATTATAGATGAAGATCCCCCCAGCCCAACACACACACACACACACACACACACACACACACACACACACACGCGCGCGCACTCTGTCTATCTTCTCACTTGCTCCACATATCCCTCACTCCGATGTGGAACTTTCCATCAGTGCATCTCGTTAATGATGGAGCACTCTCATGCATCTTTAAGCACTTGCCAGGGATCTTCCACTGTGCAGTTTCAGCCCTAAGATCACACACATGCACACCTTTTGAAAAAGTCAACAATGGAGTTTAGTTCATTTTCACTTGAATAATAAAAGAGAGGAAGGACAATAAAGAAAATGCACTTTACCTAAACTCTGTAAGTAGGCACTGGGCGCTATATGGAACAGCATGGCAATCCTGTTTTTTGGCCCCATCTCTGTATTTATGTAATGTGTAAATATGTGAAAAGTGTATATTTTTATTTGTGTCGCTTTATGTTTTTCTGGGCCTTTGGGAGCCCAGACAGTTTAATCTTATGTCATCCCAGCAGATTAGCTTCAAACACTGCATGCAAAAGATAACACTCCTTCTGTCACCTATACAAACAGGATCACGACAAAAAAAAAAAAGAAAAAGAAAAAAAAAGAATCATGGAATCCTCCTGAACCGCATACTGGCTGTTGCTGTCAATCTCATTATGTGTTTAAATTCTAGAGCTTTCCTATTATATATATTTATGTGTGGGGGAGTGCTGTGTGCAGATACAGCAGTAGAGGATATAGTGATATGTACTGTATGTATGTTGATGTGTAGTCCCCCTGAAGTTACAGACAAGCATTATGCAGTTTATGTTGCCTACAACACCTCAAAAGAAACAAATAAGACAAGATTATACATTTGTATATTGTAGACTATAAATGATAGAAGGATTACTTAGGGAATAGTTCTGAAGCGAGAGTGAGAAACACATAAATCCATACAAATAGTGGCGTTGTTTATATCTTTAGAAAAGAGCATGCAATACGCACGTTTTCATTTACCCAAAAATAAAAATATTTGTATAAATTTGTAATTTCACATATGATTACATATATTAACCCTTTATTTATACATCAAACACAGAAAGTAATCTGGGAGTATGTTACGGGGTGTGGTGTGTGGACAGAGAGGACCCAAATGCAGCACTCTGAGGGAAGGAGGTTTATTGAGGGAAAAAGGGTGAGAGGGACTGGAGTGGAGGGAGAGGAGGACGTCGGGGAAGTACAGGCACGGGGAACCAAGGAGACAGGGGGCCAGGGGGCCAGGGAGCCGGGGAACACAGGGGCCGAGGAAGCAAGGAGAGGCGGGGGAACAGGGAGGACGCCGTGAGGGAAGTCTGAAGAGGAGTGGGCCAGTGGATGAGCCCAGCCGAACAGAGGACGAGGGTGAGTGTACCTGAGAGGGAAACAGACAGAGAGACAAGGTTAGGGAAGACAGCGACAAGGCACAGGGTAAGTGTGAAAAAACAAGAAACATGGAAGCCTGAACACAGAAGTGGCACCAGGTATGGAGCAACGACGATCAAGCGAGGATGGTGTGGAGAACCGGGGTACAGGCAGGGATGAGGTTGACTACTGGCAGGTGTGGCAGGCTGACGAGGTGGCTGATGAGGTGCAGGTGCGGGTCGTTGGCTGGGCTCAGGAGCAGAGGGAGAGAGAGAGCACACACAGGGGAGAAAACACAGGGAGGCAGGCAGGGAACAGAAAACCAAGGAAAAAGCAGAAAAACTGAAAAAAAGGAGAAAAAACCAGGACACTCACCGTCAGCCGGGCTGCCACCACAACAGCGTATCTATTATTGAGTTTGGGCAATCCCTTGGATTACATTACCGATTACAATTTTGATGAGGTATCTAGTGGCTGTAATGGAATACAATTTTAGTGACCTACCCAACCTTTACACAGGATGCAGTTAGATTGACTGGCTGTGGTTAAAAACCCACAGTGCCATGAGAATATTACACACACACACACACACACACACACACACACACACACACACACACACACACACACACACACACACACACACACACACACACACATTTTGAATAAATCACCAGAAAGAGACACCAGGATTAATATCAAAAGCTGTTTTAGTCCTCCTGATATGATGTGATATCTGGATTTAATAGTTCAGATGGGCGTGGCCTTTTCAAATTTGACTTTGAATCCATGAAAATTATAAGGCTCAACAATGTTTGTACTCAAAATAAAGCTGTTAATGCAAGCTTAGAAACCTGGACCATCATCACAGACCAAGATCCTATCTTGGAAAAGGCACAGTCCAAGTCTGTTTTGTCTTGTAAATTGGATTAATGTAAGTCATTGAACAATAGTCTGCTGTTTTTGAACACAGAGCAACACAAAGCAAGGCAACCCAGCTGTATCAATTTAAATAGCAAGTATAAAAACAATTCTTGACAGGGAGAAAGGATTGCACGGTGTGTATAGATGTGTATTTTGAGTGATGGGGCAGAGACAGATGGAGAGCTCTAGAAAAGGAAAATACACTAACATTACCTGAAGTGGTCTTTTGGATGAAACACAAGTCAATTTTAGCTTCTCAAACCTTTTCTCTCATGCTTGATGGGCATCACCATTAGTTTCCTTCCCTCAAAACCCTCTCTATTTTCCTTTAATTATAGAATCCAGGCACTCGTGTTTGTAATTTGAATCTTCTTTACCTTTAAAGCACAGGTGGAACTGAAGATAAGTATTGCAATGCAGCAATTACTTTAATAAGGTTATTAGTTACAACTGTGTTTGACATGTGAAAACATCCTTTTGGGAAGCAGGTTAGAGTGCAGGATTTCCAGTTCATATAATGATATGCAATTTGAAGTATCTTCACGATACACACACTCCATTCTCCATGTTGCTGAACACTATCAACACTGACTATGAATTGGCTTAAAATGTTTTAATGAACACATTTTGTTCCTGTGGCATGTTGTCTGCCGGAAAGGGTGTCTCTGGAGAGTGATGTGACATCCTGGCATCATAACTCTCTACTATCACTGACAAAAACACTATTCAAATATAATGTTGAGTGACTAGCCTGTTTCAACACAAACTCTTATCCTAAGCTGAAATATTAAATAATTTCCCTCAGGGAAAAAGCTTTTGAAAATGTTACATTATACAGTGCTACTAAGTCTATACTTTTTGTGTCTTTCTCTTCTTAAACCTCAGGTTACACAAATTACAATGGTTGCACCACATTAGGACATCCGTTTTCCTTCAACCTTTGGTGTGTTTCTGTCTGTGTGTGCGCCGGAGATCTATTTCAATTGTAACCTATTTCCGTATGTGCTTGTAACCTATCTACGCGGCTGACAGTCTACTGCCAGAGATCAGGCAGCGTGTGAACTCCGCTCTCATCTCCTCCCAAGGGTCATTCATCCCTCCTTTCTCTCTTTTCATCGGCAGCTCTGTTTTCACTCGATGTCCTTGGGTGACCCTCATGTCCCACGCCCATGTAGTAATAATCTGGGACAAACAGCCATTCATAGTTTAGTGTTCTTGGTAATCCTGGAGGGAATGCAACCGGTTTAACTGAAGCCATTGGAAAAAAATTTTGGGAGCAGGAGTTTTCAAATAAAACTAATCAGCCGTCTTCAGCAGGATTCTGGGACTCTGAAATGATGGAAACAAGTTTCTATTATTGTTCCCAACCCTGCATAATAACACAACAGTTGTGATGACAGAATAAAATTGAGCTCAAAGTTGCCTGTGAGTGATCTTAATCTGCATAGCTAATTAGACACTTCTTGCAAATCAAAAGTTGGAATGATATTTTTATTGAATATCACCAAACAGCTAATATACTTATAGACAAACCTCTAATATCTCAGGACTGTGGACACATTTACAATATTTTCTGCATCTAAGTTTAGGTTGATTTATGTCTATGTATATCTTTATAGTTGCATACAGTATGTTATTCAGCTACTAACGTCTGATACATACACAGACATTACTAGACATACACAAGTTCGTAAGTTAAGTGATTGATTGGCTTTTAAAATGTTATGGTTTCATATAAATTCATTAAAAAATGCTCCCTCAAGTCCCTCATCATGTTTGTGTGTTATTTTGAATTTTCTTCTTTCAGCTGTGTGATATACAGTAGATTTGTCCTATTGTGAATATGCACAACACCATCTTGTCATTTTGTATCCCCCGCACTTTTTACACCATAAGGAGTCTGTAGCTTTTCACACCGCCTCACACTTGAAAGAGGCAAATGCTTATTTTAGAATACCATTGGTGACTGCGAGAGACTGTTTTATATGATAAATTCAGTGGGGAAAAGATGTTCCACAATTGACTGCTTCAAGTATTTACTGAATTCATGCGTTTATAAGGAGCCTTTCTCGGCCTGAGACCAGGTGTTGAGGTGAGTTCAGAGAGAAGGATATCAAGTGAAGCTAACTAGCATTAAAAGCTAGCAGACTACTCCATGTCAACCAGAGACTGGCGTCCCTTTTGTCTCGGTTGTTGCACTGCCACACATGCCTTGTTGATGTGACCTGTATCTGTGTGTGTGTGTGTGTGTGTGTGTGTGTGTGTGTATGTGGCACTAACATTACAGTGAAAGCAGAGACACATTACTGAAAGTAATGACGAAATCTTCCCTGAAGGGGAACACTGATGGAGATAAGAAGAAAATACAAACACTAACTCATTATCTCGCTTTTCTTCGGTCCACAAATCAGAGCACATAAAAAGTGAGATGACATGATTTAAAATCCAAGAATATATTGCATACATTACAGTAAATTGTATACTGAAATGTTAACATACATACAAATACAGTGTAATGGTCTAACAAACTCTCAGACGGCAAAGATAATCACTTCAGGCCAGTTGTACCCTGAACTCATTATACAACAGTGACTTTACAGACAAGGGACTGACTATATCATAAAAACTGATATCATACTGTATAATCATTATCACCATGAAGCTGATTGACAAACACACAGGAAACGCATACACATACTCTTAGTTTGATCATGTTCAATCATAAATTCAGACATTACACAATTCTAAAGCTATATTGAGATAATATCATATTCCTGGATCCCAATAAACATGTCACTTAATCAATTTCTTTTATAGTAGGAAAACATGTTATGAAAGAAATAAAACATACCCCCGGGTACATTACACTGATACAGCATAATTTACAATTATTTCTCCAAAATAAGACGGATGGACATTTTGGCCTCTGTCCCCTGGCCTTGTAACAGTTCCCTTAATTCGGCAATTATCTTTGGCTTCTTCCTTCTCTCTTCCACTTTCTCAGAGTTTTATCATAGTTTTTTAACAACGGTGTCCATGACAGCCTTATTTCCTCAATAAGATATCCACTAATTGACAAACACGATGATGTTTATAACATGAAATCCACATTTTGGAGGGTAGTATCTACCTCCTATACAGGTGGTATCCACTATTCTTTGGATATGCTAAATTGTAGTTCAGGTCAGAATGTATTTCTTTGTTGGAAAATAACTCTCACAAACAAATGCTAAAATAGAGAGAGGTTACAACTTCTACATTTTCAACTGAGATGAAATAAATAAAAAAAATTCTGAGCATATATGCATGATGAACATAGGTATTACAGTCAGATTATGTATGGCGAATTCAACAGTATCCCAACATTAATAATTTAAGGCACTCCATTATAATACATAGTGTGAATCCAGTTAGACTGCTAACAATAGTGGAAGATTCTTACGCTACTCATTAAAGAGAGTGAATAAATACAATAGAATCATGATACATTTTTAAATAAATAAATACAGCAGGGCTATAATCTAGAAACTATACACAAGTTACTCATCCACGACACTTACAGGAAGATTGTGTTTGGATTCTTTGCGGGTTTTTTTGTTTTTGTTTATGTTCTTTTTTACAACCATGGTCTTATCTGTGTAAGATATGCCATCATTCATTCCACTTATTATTTTGCACATTATTTTGTTATCTTCATACTGAAGTAGCAGGGTGACACACAACGTATTCCTCTTGCAATGTTTCTGTAAATTAAAAAAGGCATTTTACTTTTTAACTTTCATTATATTTGAAAGGCAAATAACCTTCATGGCCCAAGAGGACACTGTTTCAAAGTTGAGTTAAGAGTATTTGTGGCCAGATATTTCAGCTGTGAAGTTGGTTTGCAAAATGTTATAAGCGATTGGATTAATGGCCATTACAATGAAAATAAGACCACAATTATAAAAAAAAAAAATACATGCTACTAAATTATGACAATTAATTATCGTTTTTTCTGATTCTGTGCAACTAAAAGAAGAGTCCCAGCACAAATATGTTGACACTCAATCCTGAACAAGAACATAGGGAATTCTGTCATTGTTATATTAGACACTAACGAGGTAAGTACAGTACATCCTGTATATCCTTATAAAACATTTTTCACTAGGTACACAAATTTTATCACAATAATCCCATTACAATATAATTTGAGGGAAATCATTACAGTTTCCTCCATACTCTCTTCTTCTTTATTGTTTCTTTCCTGCTTTGTGGCAATGTCTCTTCCTCTAAATTGTGTCCTTCTACAGTTATTTCCCTTTGTCAGTCTGCCAGATGCCATTGGCTTTATTGAGTGAGGTGTTGCTACCCTGTGTGGTCCCTGTCTCAGCCTTCATGGCTTGCTCAACAGCATCTGCCAAGGGCAACTTGTCCTCTGCCTCCGTCTCTCTGTGGTAGAAGTAGTTGAAGTTGGAAACAATGACGGGAACAGGCAAAGCAATGGTCAGAACACCTGCGATGGCACACAGGGTGCCCACCATTTTACCCCCCATGGTAATGGGACACATGTCTCCGTAGCCTACAGTGGTCATAGTAACCACAGCCCACCAAAAGCCATCAGGTATGCTGACAAACTGTGTGTTAGGCTCATCTACCTCAGCAAAGTAGATAGCGCTGGAAAAGAGGATCACGCCGATGAAGAGGAAGAAGATGAGCAAGCCAAGCTCACGCATGCTGGCCTTCAGAGTCTGTCCCAGGATCTGCAGCCCCTTGGAGTGACGTGAGAGTTTGAATATACGAAACACCCTGACCAGACGGATAATACGCAGAATGGCCAAAGACATGTTCTGTCCTGAGCTCTCTTGTGGCGTTGTGACCAATTCTGTAACCACAGTAACAAAATAAGGGATGATGGAAATAATGTCAATGATGTTCATGAGGTTGTGGAAAAATTCCTTTTTGCTGGGACAGACCATAAATCTCACACACAGCTCAAAGAAGAACCAAGCAATGCAGGCAGTTTCAATGATGAAGAAGGGATCAGAGAAAGTTGTGGGCTTTACACCAGATGGAGCCACAGAGGTGTAAATTGTAGATTGGTTGAAAGGCTGTAGTGCTGTGGGCACAATTGGGTCGGCTTCATCTCTAAATTCTGGAAGTGTTTCCATGCAGAAAATAATGATGGATATGACAATAACAAAAACAGACACCAATGCTACACCTCGGGCTGCATTTGAGCTCTCTGGGTACTCAAAGAGCAGCCAGAATTGCCTATACATATCATTATTAGGAAGAGGGATCTCAACATCCTTTATGAATCCTTCATCTTCTCTGAACTGCTCCATGGCCTCACTTCCAAGCTGATAGAACAGAATTTCATCTGCAAACACGTCCAGGGGAACATTAGCTGGACGTCTGATCTTACCCCCTGACTGGTAGTAATACAAGATTCCGTCAAAGCTGGGTCGGTTCCGATCAAAGAAGTACTCGTTCCTCATTGGATCAAAGTAGTCCATCCTCTTCAACGGATCTCCTAGCAGCGTCTCAGGAAACTGGTCCAAAGTTTTGAGCTGTGTCTCAAAACGAAGACCGGCAATGTTGATGATGACTTTCTGGTCGCCGTCATCCAGCCCTCGTTTATCTACAAATAGATCCTCACAGCATTCCTTAGCAAGCTGGCTGAAGATCGTCTCGCTCTCCTTAGTGCCCTCACTGTTTAGCAGCAATTTCCAGTTGGAGATCATACTGGCACAGCTACTGCGCCCCTGTCTGTTTGGAGATGGCATGGTTGGGGACTGGGGTACTCCTAGTGTCTGTGTCTGTGGAATGGGCGAAGATGAGGTGGATTCCCACATGCAGGAGGGCACAGGACTGTGGCAGGGGGGCGTAGAGGAGAGCTGAGGGGCTCGCAGAAGGTAGTTGCTGCCTTGGCTGTTGTGCTCGGGGGGCAAGTCCACTGTGAGAGCTGTGGTCTCATCAGCGTAGGTGTCCACCTCATCCTCAAGGCTGCCGTCAAGGCCATCCATGCTCTCAAAGTCTACCAGGGCCACCTCCATGGGTGCGGTTCAGCCAGTGCAAAGCCTTGGGACCCCAGGATCGGACAATCAAACACACACACACACACACACACACACACACACAGACGAACAGATGGTATTCTCAGGCACCAGAATTATCAGCAGAGTACAGAGGCAGCCAATCTTCAGCAGCACTTACAGTAACAGGACAAATTGAAAGCCCCCTCTCCTTTATTCCTTCCAACACCTGTAGAGTGAGAGACAAAGAGAGTCAGTGTGTTCCTGTCAATGGTTAAGGGTTTGTTTTGTGTTAACTGTCATCAGGTGACAAGAACATGACGTTGGAAAGCACATGTTCTAGCATGACTCCTTGTTTCTTAGCTACCCATCTCTGTGGGAAACCAGCAGTGGGAGAAAGACACGTGAGAGAGAAAGATAAAGAAATGAGGGAAGAAAGAGGAGGCAAAGGGGTGAAGCAGCTAGAAGATGGAAAGAAAGATGAAATTGTAACAGTAGCAGGGGAAGATTTCACTCTTTAGAAGAAAGTAGAAAAGTCATTGCCACTTCTTTCTGCAGTCTTAATGTGGAGACACTGTGATGAGTCATGTAACTGTGAAAAAGGAAAACAACAAACAAAACAGAACTAACAGTAGTAGTACTAATGTGGATGTAAGTTAAAATATCTCTGCTAAAACAATGAAACAAGGTCTTTTAACTCCTAATCTACTGTAGCCTATATACACAATTTCTCCTATTTACTAGTTCATACAGTCACTGGCATACATGCACACACATTATTTCTCTTTCACAAACATAATCACAAACATAACACCTGCTCAAGGGGATCAAGGCAAACACCCTGTAATGATCTCAATGCAGGCTGTGGAAGGAGATGATATTGCAGGGTAACTGGGGCTGTGCATACATTAGTGCATAATTAACTGGCTGTACTGTGATAGCATGGACTTGGCTTCCTCCAGACAACTGGGCTCACCTTTAAACTGCACCATGTCACAAAATTTCTTCAAGAAATCCACTCTGCTACTATTGTGCCATCTGTCTGCATTCAGATATACCCTGGCTTGTGTGGCTTTTCATCAGCATAAAGACTACTCAGCTGTTGTAGTATTGCTATAGCATACTATGAGAATCGTATAGTATCCTATAGAAAGTTTGTAGTATTACTATAGTATTTCTGTTATTCTATAACATTCTGCTATTTTAGTAGCTAGAGTAACCCTATACTTCAATAGTAATCATATATATCTAGATCTTTATAGTATTGTGTATATTTTAAATATTTAATATAATAGTAACTATAGTATATTATATGGTGTTTCTCTTTTGATCACACTATTAAACTCCTATTGAAATACTATAATGATGTTACACTAAATGTACAGCAAGACATTTACAGAGTAACTTTTCCTTTTTTTTTGTAAGGGAAGTCTCACCTACATAAGGACGTCACAGTTGGGGTGCTGAGAGAAGGTCTGTCTATTTAATGACATCATACTAAATGGTGCGCAACATTCATGTCTTTTGTATTATTTGATGGCCAAGATAACTTAAATCTACAACCAAACACAACAATTTGAGAACATTTACACTTCAGCAGACAGCAAACTTAAACACCGACATACTGTACGTCAAAGCAGCCACAGTGTAGTACAGTCAACAACAGGAACTAGTGCATGAGAACTGCAGGGAGATGGAGAGGGAGAGGATGAGAGAGGGGTGTAACCCACAACCAGCTCATCATAATTCACAATAATGCAGCTCAGTGAGGATACAGACGTTTCATAGAGGAGACAAGCATATATAACGCAGATCTATCTGTCTGTCTGTCACTGTTAACAATGACTCCAGTCTGCAGTGTAGTTCAGACACTTCACTTATCAACTACAGAACTGTAGTCAAAGTAAGTTTTTATCTAACGTCCACACTTTTGTCCATACTTGCAGGCATGTGGTGCACTCCCAGGGGCTGGAGCAGGGGGCGCGCCCCTTTGTGTGAAGAAATGTTGTAAAGTGCCCTCCAAGGTGGCCGTTTGTGCCAACAATGTGATTAAGTGCCCTCTGGGTACCCTTCCAGTGGAAAAAATGTGACGTAGTGCCCTCTAGGGCGCCTCAACGTTTGAGAAAAAGTGATGCAGTGCACTAATGGGCACCCCTCCAATGGAAAATTGTCATGCAGTGCTATCTAGACTGCCCTTTTGTGTGAGAAAATGTGGCAAAGTGCCCTCCAAGGTTCCCCTATGTGATGAAGGGCCCTCTGCAGGGACAGATTACCACATTGGCCTACCAGGCATGTGCACAGGGCCCAAAATCTAAAAAGGGCCCATAGAACTTTGTGATTAACTATTGCCGAAGACTATTTTCTGGGTGTGCTCGAGAATACAGATTGTCTAGCTTTCAATGATGCTTGATTAATGAATTTCTGATGAATGCGCTGGTCATTCAGTTTCTGTGCCCTGTTGCCCCACCATGTGAAGCTGGTGGCCTTTTTGTTTTTTTGCCCCTTGCTTGAGTCCAACACTCTGTTTCTCTGTTTCTGTTCTGTTTCTCTCTCTCTCTCTCTCTCTCTCTTTTTTATTATCAATTGATGGTTTTTATAATGCCTGGTTTTAGGGGTGCTGAGGGGGTAACACCCCTTCTTTTCGTGTCCATGTCTCTACACATTGAGTAAAATGAGTAGGGCTAGTGTATTTTAAAAGCATGTCAGTCTAGGCCCTTTAGAGGGCTATTGAAATGGGTGAAACATAGCTAAGTCCGCCACTGTGTATGTCTATGTCCGAGTGCTGACGCCTGAAGATGTTTAATTAAAGACTCTAGAGATGAGTCACCACCTAAAATCAGTGTCAGTGATACCAATCCTGCCGGGACTGAGAGAGAGAGAGAGAGAGAGAGAGAGAGAGAGAGAGATGGAGCGGCTGAATGAATAAGGAGGATGACATGAAAATTGTCGGGAAGACGGATGTGGGTGGAAGGACTGGGTGGGATGTGACAGTGAGAGAGAATGGGAGTTGATACGTGGGTGGATGGATAGACAGGATGATGAGAGAGCAATCGTGACAAGGAAAGAGGAGTGGTTTATCAAGAGCAGAAGAATCAGATGATGACCAGGGCTAAAAGAAAGGAAAACTGTGCATACAGGTAGAAGAACAAACTGGTAAAGATGTGAAAAGTTAGAAAAAGATACGAATTTCAACCCTTGCACATAAAATTATATGGTAAGATGAAAGCCATACGAAAAGATCACTAAATCAAATCAAACCCACTTCTCTCCTCTTAAACCTCAAACCACCTGACCAGAATGACGTCATTTCAGCAACTTTCTCATGATCCTAAAATAGAAGCAGCAAACCAGCGTAAACTGACAAGACACTTACATCAATACCTGGAAATTAGGCACTGATCATGCTTGGTCATTGCTCTGCTTTGCCAAGTTCTAATATTTTTCCAATGATTCAATATGCCATCAATATTTAATTTGGAGTGAATTTAATAAAAGAATGACTGCTCTGACTCCAAAAAGACAAATATGCCAATGGTCGCACTGATTCAGCTATTTACCTTTAATTACAGTAGTGCCCAAGATCTGTTGAGAGTCATATATTTCGGGTGAGTTTCTGCTTTATCTTAAAAACAGAGTGAAATCTGATTCAAGTGAAATGTGGTCTCTGGGATAGGGATAGAATATTAAAAAATCTGCTCTCTGGACTTCTCAAACTTGCCCAAACAAGCCCATAAACAGAGTAACAAACAAGCAACACACGCCTTACCTTCCTTAGCAAGAAGTCTACAGACCACGTGTGTATAATAGGCTGTAAGAAAAGCAAAAACAGGAGAGGGAGAAAAGGCTTCTCTACAAGTTCTACCACTGCTGCAGCTTCCTGCTACCTCCTGAGACTGACTAATCTATCATAGACTACATTGGGTAACATTATGCTGGAGTAGAAACTAGAGCTGGGGCAAAGGCCACCTGCGCACCCATGCACACACACAAACACATGCAAACAAGCATGCACACAGGCCACATGCAAACAAAGAAAAGCTGTAAGAAAAAAAATCTGCTGATAAATATTGCTTCGTTTATATTATAATTTTGTGTGTGTGTCTGGCCACGTGTGTCAAAAGCCATCTCTCAGTGATGTATGTGATGTACTCAAGGCCCTCTAGACTGGAAAGGTGCGTTAAGATCCTCATATTTCTTCACGCTTGACTCACTCACCCCACACACACACACACACACACACACACACACACACACACACACACAGGCCATATCCATATCTGACTTATTTACAGAATCACAATAAATAATTGATGTTTAACAACTCCTTTAAGATGTACAACACGACAGTGTCACGTGGGCACCTAACATAGCTTTCCACTTTCATCTCGTCAAAACTTCAACGCTATCACCTACTTCAGCTCTTTATCTATACACTCCATACCTCGAGAAAAAACATTTTTAATGATGCTCAGTCTAAATGAATGCCAACTATCTTCCATCAAATAAAGAAAAATGTAATCTCTTGATTGACCCCCAAGTATTTTTTTTGGCAACCACAAATGTCATAGATCTTCTTCAAATCAGTGAAATCAGTCAAATTCCGCAGAGTGACACTCGACCATACCTCTCTGTCCTCACGCTGTAAAACATATTTGTACACACAGGCATGTGAGGAAGCTGCCACTCCACTCTCAGAAATCCTATAGCATGTGTGAACAACTACTGTGGAGAGTCTTGTCAACGCTGTTTAATCAACATGTCTTGTTGCATTTCCATTAATATTTGTGTAATTGTGAAATTAATTAAATCCTGTTTTATGCCCTTCAATTTGACTTGGGTTTACAAATTAAGTACCCACACAAGGATATAAATTAGGTCCTCAGTCTCAGTAGTGTCATTATGCGAACCTGTCATGAATACTCCAAAACATGTGAAAATGATTCATTATCAAGCCCTTCTGGAAAACAGAGTGCTACACCACTAAATAAATAACACAGTACAACTTGCTAAGTTTTCATCATTTCTTTCTGTAGGACTTTCTTAGTGTTCTTCCTGTTGCACTCTCTTTATCATGCCATTAAATTGTGACTCTATTGAAAATGTTTGACCATGTACAGTATGTTAACAAATGACAGCATATGTCACACACCTGCAAATGCTCAAATAATTGTGCATTGACAGAAAACACACGTAGAACTTGTTCTAGATTCCAATTCTCATGCGTACTGTACATTTTCCCATTATTTAACGGATAAATGTTGGTGTTGTATTATACTATTACTGTACTATTGTGCTGGTGTATTAATCTCAATAGGATGTGCAGTAGACACAGTGGATGGATGCTTAAACACCAAAATGCTAACTCTTCTTACTATAAGGACAGTAACATGCAACCAAAATCAAACAAAATACTTTCACTACTTTTACTGACATGACAACATAAAAACAGAAAATATCATATACCAGTGTTTCTTATACTATAATGCTGTCACATATGCATGGAAAAACACTAGCAACTGTGCTCTGTAGCAGAGGACAAAATGTTTCTAAGGAGGCAGTGTGACCTTGACTCGTGTTAGGACAGTGTAAAACAGAGGTGTCATATGGGGCCCACGCCACCCCGTGGTGCTCCGACTACTATTCTTGTCATGCTATTAACCCATGAGATACCAGTTCTTTCTTCGTGTCATGCTTTAATGCACGCAAATACATGCAAGCACTGCCCACTGTTGGTAGAGAAAAAAACATGTGTGGGACACTCTCAATGGGAAAATCAGTGATATGGTATTGCATGCTGTGCTGAGCTACATTTTAGTAAGCTAACCGCTATGACTTTACCACATGTGTGTAAACATGAACAGATGTTCCGGCTGATCTAGCTTAACTACAAGCCAGTCCTTTGCTAGAAATGCATGTCTCTGTGCAATGTTTACCTTAACCAAACCAAAACATTGTATACCATTTATTAATTATATTAATACATTTATTTGATTAATGTAACAAACCATTTGCTATAAAACAACGCAAGCACCACTGTTACTGTCTCAACATGCCTCATGCACATGCAGTGTTTCCACATAACAAAGTGGAGTGGAAGGGGTGGGGCAGGGGGAGAGAATGACTATTAGTTGCAAACTAATAGTGATGTAAAATAAAATAAAATAATGATGATATTACTAGGACTCATGATAAATAAAAATAAATTGTAGCAGCAGGTCTTGAGCAGGAACATGGGTGCAGTAGGTGGCTTGCAATCAGAGATCCAGAATCTACTGTAGAAATAACCTGCTGAAAGCGACAGAAGGAGAGAAGAGAGATGAGAAATAAATAAAAAAATTGCCACTTATTCCTCCTCGTTTATTTCCTCAGTTTTTGAATGTGTTCAAGACTTCAGTCCGTTTTATTTGTCCTTTCTGATTTCTAATATATATCATTATACACTGATGTACTAGTGCACTGTTCACTAAGGTATGTGGTACCATACTATACTATACAAATACTATGGTACACTATATTCTCTATAACTGTATGCTATGCTGTTAATGTATGATGCAAATCTGCTTTAAGCTACCCCTGCAGCAGCTGTTTAAATTATAAATGCCTCCTGACTAAAAAAATAAGAAAAAAACCCCCCTAAAATGATATCCTTTGAATTACTGTTCACTTTCCTCATCGCTAACTGAAGTCCAAATATCAACACACTTTACGGAATAACATTCATTATCACAAAAATAATCTTTAGTGTGCCAGATGTTTGCAGCTGAGCACAGTTGGTGAAGTGCGCTCACACAAGCATTAAAGCATTACCATTACCTTTTCATTCTGCGTAAAAGAACTACTGCAGGCCACATTCTCACTTCAATGTATAGTAAATACAGTGTAATTGACCCTTTACATTGGACCCTTTGTGATTCTCCTGTGATGTGGCGGTGTGAACTTTCTGGCTGTGTGAGGGCATTGGTTGGCAGAGCTGGTATTTTTGGACGAGAGGTTTGAACCTATTAAGCAGATTAATACAGGCTGGGCAGCTCAGTGCTATAAGCTGAGGGATCTCTTCTGTCAGATCAACACAGATACTAGCGAGCCATCACAGATAGGCCCACACACACACACACACACACACACACACAGTAAAAAATAACACTGCTTGAGACTTTTTAAAAAATGTATTAGACAGAACGTACAGATTGAAAGACGGCTATTGTTAACCCTACATTTATTCTTCGCTTTGTTATATATGATAGTAAACTGAATATATTTAATTTGGTAAAATAAAAAAGCTATTTTAATACATAATCTTGGGCTGTGGGAAATTATCAGCCATTTTCTGCTGTTTTCTCATATTTAACAGACAAAATGATTAATTGATTAATCATGAAAAATTTAATAGATTGATTGATAAATCAAACAATTGCTAATTGCATCCTTAATAAAAACGCAACCCTCACACTCCCTCACTTTCTACTGCACTATATGAATATCAAGTTGCTTCCTGCAGTCATACTTAATGTTTCCATTGAGCACAGATTGCTAATGCAGAAAAAAGAGACTACGGTTTTGTTACCCACTGTCATTATGAATCTTAACAGTTTATGGGAAAACAATACATTTAAAAGCTCACACATACATTATAGTGCAAAGGTTTACATTGTATACAGATACACAAAAACACACACTGACAAGCAAACTGTACACACACAAAAATCCTTTCTATTCACCACAGAGAAGCCTATTACAGACCTTTTCAGAAAATAGTACACATGGCAATTGAGAGTATATTTTTAATCATGATACATCTATTATCCGAATAACAGATTTTTGGAATATCATAACCATATCCCTCTCTCTTGAGCTTTTAAATCACTTACCAAAATATGAATTACAAATGTCCATTTGGTAATGCAGTTCACATAACTGAAGCCAAGTGCTGCCTCTCATTAATGGAGCTAAAAATAGACACAAAATGGATCCTCAATGAACTTCAGTTTGTTCCAGTTAATACCAGGTGACACTATAGTGTATGTTTGTACTGTATTAGTGAGAGCATGCGGGTGTGTGTGTGTGTGTATGTGTGTGTGTGTGTGTGTGTGTGTGAGTATGTGGTGGGTCACCCAGGAGAATAGTGACACACACAATTACTCACATACATAAATCACAAGTTCTATTCTGTGTATCAAAACAACGTCCAGCAATGCTAAACACGTCAATGTGTCAGATTTGTTAAAAAGTATGAATAAATACATATTGAAGTAGACAAAAACAATGATTTTCATTTGCTGATGGTGACCGACCATAAGAGTACTTGTAGCCTTGATTACTGTACATATTACTTCTTGCTTTATCTATTAAGCTATAAAATTTACTGTGGTATTCTATACTTTTAGAATAAGTTATATAAGAATAATTTTACATTCTTTACAAGGTCACTCCAGTATGTATTTCAACTTATAATGCTACTGCTATTTGGTAAATGTGTAACATTTAACTTGCCGTTCATAGCCCCCTTACCTCGGGGTAACTTTCCAAATGTTATTTGCTGGGGGACAGTGAATATAAATGTGAGTGTGATGTGAACATCAAGAGATGCCCAGTCTTGTATTGTGTGTCTTGCGTGTGTCTGTTGTTCATTCCAAGAAAAAACTGTAGCTTGATTAGTATCTACAGCTGAGCCCAAAGTGATGGGACTATGTTAAACATTGAGAATTCAGGGAGTGGGAGTAATCTTGAATGACACGCACACACACACACACACACACACACACACACACACACACACACACACACACACACACAGACACAGACACACACACACACACACACACACATATTTTGAATAAATCACACTGAATTAAAGAGAGCTAGAATTAAGTATCTTCACAAAAT